TTTTACAAAATTCTTTCACTGTAAATATTGTAGTTAGAATAGTTATGAATTGAGCATAGCCATATATTAATGATTAAAATATAAAATAATAAGTTGAATTCATGAAAATTTGCGATACTGACCTGCACAGGCAGACTGACAGACAGTACGGAAGAATGCATTTCCGCCGAAATTCGACATGTGAAATTTGGTATCATCGAATAACCGTCCTTATATGCAATTCGGTCGGTAAAAGTTTAAACTTCTGATATTTGCTATTAACTTTTTGCTTTTACAATTATTTGAAAAAGCTTACAGTTTCAGAAATATAAAACTGTCAAAATTCAAACTTTGTAAATGTCGACCTGCCATAACTTGGGGCGAAATGGAGGTGCAAAAAAATATTCCTCTAACGAAATGAGATGAAATAAGTTATTTATCAATCTCAACAATTTGCTCAAATTTTGGCCTCCAACGCATATGTATAATCCATCGCACTGAAATATTTATAAGGGTACTATAATTAGCTGCTGAAATCTCAATATAACTATTCAAAAAACTATACAAATTAATTTTAAAGAAAATATTTCCTCTATAACTTAAATTACTTTGCTGTATTCCTATAATTTCTATATAATAAAAGTGTATTACCTTAAAATAATAAAAATTCTGAATTGAATTAATCACATAAGACACAATAATGGTGGATAAATAAATACTTGAAATTAATTAATAGCTTTCAAATTTGTGAAATCACATTTTTTGAGTTGATACACTTTAGCCACAGAATGCAATATAATACGCAATATAAAATATGTAGTAAGTACATACACATTTGAACAAACTAATCTTTTATGTTTATACCTTGTTTAATAACCATTACAAGGTTAAATTAATAGGGCAACAATTATATTAAAAAAAATTAAGTTAATTCTTAATTAACCTTAAAAATATCAAAATTTGTTTTTAAGTTTTTCCATCAAGTTTCTCTCTTAAGTTTTTCATTTTTCAATAGAAAAGAAAAAAAAATTAATTTTCTTTCTGTCTGCTCTGGTCATAATTTATAAATTGGAAAAGCAAAACGAATCTACATTAAATCCGTACTTAATTGATAATTGTTTTTAAAAATACTCTATGAGCCTATTAAATACTTGGTTGCATATAAAATGCTTGTTCATAATTTTAACACATAACTATTGTCTATGGGAGTAAAAAATCACCCACTTAAAACATAGTTTGGACGATAAATTTAACGTTATTATCTTTATTTTCTTGTATTCTTCAATTAAATTATAATTAAGAATAAACCAAAAAATCCAAAATTTTTGGCTTTAGATTTTTTCGTTTTAGATGATGTTTACCGCGAGATAGTAGTTGTAAGGGTACGAATTTGATATTACGAGTATATACAATATAATATCAAATATTACGATTTTGCAGCGGAAAAGAAATTGAAAATAAATTGGTTGATGAAACACGAGTATTTTTTGTAATGACGAAGAATTGGGAGGGACGATGTAGATGTAGCGACAGTTTTTTGATAAACGTACGTGAAAAATTACGTGAGAAACCAAACAAAAATAATATTTAATTTTGTGGTTTCTGTGGATTTCCGTTCAAAGATGTGAAAATTTTTTGTTTCCTTTATGGAAAAGTATAGGCATTTTTAATTTGGAGCCGTAACATGAAACCGGATGTAGTATCTGGGCTATAAATGAATTGAAAATTACGATATCAGTTAAGGGTTAATATAATGAAGGATATGGTTTCTTTCATGCTTACATACATACATACAAACACAAAAACATACAAAGATAATGATGAAGCTTTTTCATAATTTTGACCTTATAAAAAATAATTTAAGTAACTTTTCTTTTTTTTTTTCTTTAATTTAAATTAGGCATAAAAATATTATGGTAAACGAAATTTATTCTATTGTTTAGTTGTTCTTTTAGTAAAATATTTCATAAAAATTTGCTACAAAAAAATTCTCTCTTGACGTAAATTGTGGTTTATGGTAATTAACAAGTGATTTATTTTTTGACGTTAAAAATCAACATAAATATTATAATGTGTCATACAAGATTTTAATAAACTTGTTTGTATTTTATATATTAAGCATATACGCATGCGTATGTTAGTATATTATGGTCCGTCAGGGGTTTGTCACATATTGGTATACATATGTATAATATTTTAACAAAACTTAATGAGTCAAATTCATTTTACTCATATCCCAACACATTTTTTATCTTCAAATTCAAAAATTTATAATTTTTATACGCTTTCTCAACTAAAATTCTAAATTTTTCCAAAATGATTAGTAGAATTTAGATTCGCAAAATGAATTTATTTTCTTACAAATAGTTGGTCAATTTCAATTAAAAAATTTGTGCTGATTGCTGTTGTAAAAGTATCGTAATTTTGCTTTGAATTAAAATTTTGAAAAAAAAATATGAGAAATTTTTTTGAAAAAATTTATTAATTACATAATTATAAACGGGTTAGAACAGACGTATTACTCGTATATAGCGAAAATTGTAATTTAAGCCCATATATGAATTGTTTTAGGAAAGAAAATGAAAATAGAACTTTGGGTTTAGAAATACATTTACATATGATTTTTTAATTTAATTTGAAAATTTATGTCTAAGTTATGTCGATTATGTTTTATTTTTTTGATGATATAAATTGAGTCTATGATCATGTTATTTTAGATATTCAAAAAAATATATTTGCCCTTATTGTAGCACCAAAATTCGGAGAAAATACGAGTTTCATATTGTAAATTGCGAAGTAGTAGAATTGTATTCCGAAATTCCTAATAGAGTAATTATGAATCACACTCGTAATGAAAATAAACGTCAAAATTCTACGTACAAAGCCAGTATTCAAGAGTGGTCGGTTAATTTTTTTTCGTTCTTTTTTATTTTTTTACGTAAATTGAGGAAAATTCAAATTTTTTTAAAGGCTTGGTTCATTTTAATTAATATTATTTATTCTCTATTAATTTTGAAATGTCTATTATTTTATAGAATATAAAAAAATTTGAAAAATTTAAATTTTGACACTTGACAGATGTAATAAAATATCGATTTTGAAACCCCGAAAAATAATGTTGTCATTGTAGATTCATTATCTATACGAGTGAGATTTATAATTACTCAAAAGTCTACGTGCGTAACTTAGTTTAAAATTCGTAGAATTCTACGAGTAAGATTCACAATAAGGGTGATTAAAATTTATTATGATTGACAATAATTTTCTATATACAAAAGTAAATTGAACTTATAAAACATTCTATTTACTTTACTCTAGAAAAAAAAAATTTTACACCACCTTTTTGTGCAGAACATGTTATGCACTAGAGTATAGAAAGATACTAAAGTAGCAGTGACAAGATATTGTTGTAGCAGTGCAAAATTTTGCTCTGATTTGTCAATGCATCAATATAAAACCATTTCAACCAGAATACATCAATAACCAGAAGAACTCACATAATAATTTTGTATCAACATATTTTGCGTATTTTAGTGTAGATGTCGTAGTGTAATTAAAATAAATTTTTTTTAAAATAAATTGAAGTCAAACTTTACCGGCAATATCTAGAAATAACAATTGATTTTATTTAATGAATTTGTTTAATAACTTGTTTGAATTAATGTTTTTTTTGTTTACTCTTTATTTCATTATGAGAGAAAGCTCAAATTTGAATATGACACTACATACATATACATATTGTGTTTGAAAGCAAAAATTTATTTAAATTTAATGTCAATCAATCTTCATTATAGAATAAAACTGGAATTTGAGATTACAATCAACACACATGCTATTTTTTTTTTGTTGTCTTAATACTTTCATTTTCTAATAATCAATAATTTAAAATAATTAATTGGAAATCATTTATTTTTTGTATTAAATTATACAAAACAATGAGATGACGTCTATTTTTTTTTTGACTTATATAATGATTTGCCAAAATATTATTAATAAATATAAATTAAACCATAATTGGTTTGTAAAGTAGCACATTTCTATTACACAATTTAAGTAGAAAACTTGTAGTACGATTTAGATCTAGAAAATAAAACCGATCTATTGAAATAATTCTTTTATTATTGAGGGGCTTAGAAGTATATAAATTATATTATAATTTTGCATAAATTTTGGAGAAAGATATATTAACTTAGTTAAAGGATTAAGATGTATCCTTCCTGTCTTGAATAAGAAATTGAGTAACTCTCTTAATTTAATGGAAATGAATTAAATGCAGCTTATGCAATGTAGGAGAAGCAAGGAAACAAAAAAAGTGTTTTGCAAATTTTGAAATTTCATTCACTGGTGAGAGGGAGAGTACAACGAAATTTGATTGGAGAGAGGAAGAATGAAAATTAAATTTATATTAGTCCTTTGAATGAAAAATTTGAAATCTACTTCGGAGTTGTCGTTTAATTTCAAAGGTGACTTTCGCAACATGACGTTCATTTGTAGATAGAAATTCATTTTTTTTGTGATAGAAGAAATAAATTCTTGACGTTTTTGTTGGATTTATTGACAAAATTAACAAATCGCCTTTGCAATTAAAAAAAAACTTGTGTTTTCACGTCTTTCAGCAGCTTTAAACTGAAACATAGCGGGAATGGTATCAATAAAAATCTTGTTTGCCAGAAATATTACTTTTTCTAGAATTTTTGTACACAAAGAGTATATACGGCCAGGCAGAGTGTTTAAGGCTCATTTTTTCCAATCTAATCTAATTAATGATTTCAACACTTTTTAATTGATTAACGATGATGGAAGAGCCAAATGAAAGCTTTTATTAAATCAAATAATTTATTATTCAAAATAAAGAATTTTTAAATTTCTGTTAATTGTTAAAAATGATAGCATAAAACTAAAAATGGTGTGATATTTCAACAAAGCTAATTAACACCATTTTTCAATTTTTTTGCAAAGCCAAAGATTTATAAATTGTTCATTAATTATAGCTTATTAATAATTTAACTTTCTTTTTTCAGTTTACACAAAATCACATCAACAATCACTGTCATTGATTAAAGATGATGAAGCTACAACATTACAAAAATTACAAATATTTTTCCTTGAAGAATGCTCATGTATAAATTTATCAAAATGCCAAAGAATGACTGATATTATATCAAAAGTTAAATTACCTATACCATCAGCAATTAAGGAAAGAATAAAGAGAACATCTTGTGGTTTTAATAATACAGAACCGTTAATTTGTTGCCCACCTGAAGGTAAAACAATTGTACCAGATTCAGTTGAAGTAGTTAGTTTTCGATTTGGATCATCATCTGATTGGAATTGGCCAAAAGAAAATAATGAATATCCTAATTTTCACCATAATCATATTATTAACGATTATCCAGAATATAGTAAAGAACCGAAATATAAGAAACCAATTGATATTGATATAAGAAAATTTAATAGTGATGATGATAGTGGTAATAATTTTATAATGGAAAATTTAGTTGATTTTGAAGACAAAAAAACTCATAAAAATTGTCCACCAAGTTTTTATGATGATCATAATAAATTTTATGAAAATTATAAAACATTTGATAAAGATTATCATGATAAATATTATAGGCATCGAATACCATCACGATATCCAACACGAATACCATCACATAAAGATTATAATCGTTTCCATCATAATCATTATCATTATCCATATGATACAAGAAATAATTATTGGTATGATCATAATCATCATAGATTTAGTCCAACACAATTTCCATCAACTTTTTATCCAAGTTTTCAAACACAAACTCCAACTATAAAACCTAAACCTACAACTACAACATTTGTACCACCACTCATATCAGATTCATCAAATGAAAATAATAGTAATAGTAATAGTAATAATGATAATAGTAATAATAATGTTATGAATGACAAAAATAATAGAAATCAAATTAATTCGGAGCAATGTGGTGTATCAATTGGTACTAGAATTATAGGAGGTACAACAAGTGGACCAGGACAATTTCCATGGATGGCTCGAATTGCTTATAAAAATTTGAGTAAGTTTTTATTTGTAAGATGTGTATATTATCTACTTGATTTCATCAATAATATTTTGACATTGATAAATTATTAAAATTCCTGTTACAAATACTGAAAGGCTTTTTATTAGTGGCCAATAAGGATGATCAAATATAGTTTCTTCTTTGCATTGCTCTAAATTCGATAATTCTATTTCAGTTGTTGGATCACATTCATATTGTAATGGATATTCTGTTCCATTCAATGGTTCTGAGCGACATTTTTTCAACTCCTCCACCATTTTCCTAAAAAAAGAAAATTGATTGTTTAATTCATATTAAGATTAATTTGAATAATTTTGAATTTAAATAATTCACTTCGAGTGAAAGGGGAGCGATTACAAATGTTCAAAAAATATTAAAATCCCATACATATAAATTTATTAAGGAGTCGTGGTTTGATCGTTTTCTTACAGACTCAAAGTGAAATTTTTATATTTAATAAAGTTTTCGGATTTTTTACCACCTGATTTGAACGAAAACTTGTAATATTTGCAAGAATGCGGTCATATTCATTCAATTGAATATGAGCACATATTTACTATACAGGCTATAATTTTATTGAAAACTCACGACACGACCAATAATTTCAATTTGTTAAATGTACACATAATTATTTTCTTACAAAATACCACTCAAATTAATTCTAATTTTTTCTTTATATTTTCAATTTTTGACAAAAGCTTCTGGAACAATTAGTTACAGATGTGCTGGATCATTTATTAATAAACAGTATATGGTGACGGCTGCTCATTGTGTTACAAATTTAGTAGATACCTTACAAATGTAAGTATTTTTAATTTAGTCTTTAATTTTTAAGTTTAAAAATTATCTTTATAAAAATAACATAATAAATCTGTTTTTTTAGATCACACATTAAATTAGGTGACGATTCAGATGACAGTAATACTGATACAGAATATCAAATAGATCAACTTATACCGCATCCAGGATATGATACACCAAAATATGCAAATGATATAGCTTTAATAAAGATATCACAATTAAATTGTAAGTTTATAAAGTATAATGACAGTTTTTAATACATATAATAGCCATTGCATTCGAAAATACTGCAAAGACGATTTATTGCATATAATTGTTGAAACAAATTTGAAGTCAAAAACATGCTATATTTACATACATACATATGTATATTGTACTTACGTAAGTTTTTCTATTCTTTTTCAAGTACAAATTATTCCAATATGTTTACCGGCTGGCGATTACAGAGATGTTGATAATAATTTAACTGGAAGAATTGGAACTGTTGCTGGTTGGTTATCAAACACAAGAGGTATTAATTAATTTTATTTTGTAAATGCTTCAATTAAAATTAACAAAAAAAAAAATTGTATTTTAAAATAAATTTTAAATAATTTTTAAATTTATTTTTTGATATATTTTCAAGGGGACTCTAGATCCAATGATTTAGAAATGAATTTTGTTCGATTACCAATTGTAAATCAATCTGAATGTGCTAAAATTTATTCAGATTTTAGTATAAATTTTAGAACACCAATTATTGTATCAAATTCACAGATATGTGCACAAGGAACAGAAAATATGGATGCTTGCCAAGGTATAATATGTTGCATATTTTTAAAAATTAATAATAAATTTTTTTTTTCAATTTGAAATAATTATTATTTTAGGTGATAGCGGTGGTCCGCTTATGTTAGAAAATACTGATAGACGTAATCCAAAATTAATTTTATTAGGTTTGGTATCATTTGGTCCAAGAACTTGTGGAATTTCAAATTTTCCAGGAGTTTATACAAGAATTTCTGGATATACAGACTGGATTTCTAGGATTATTATGTTATAAAAAAAAATAAGATAAATTCCATTTACAAAAAAATAGATTTAAATTTAGGTTTTTTTTTATATTTATTTGTAATAAACATTGAAGTTTTTAAACTTTAACATACCTTTGTAGTATTTTCTTATTAAATTTTGTATACTTTTAGGCTAAGCGTTATTAAAATGTTTCCTTTTGTTTTGTTCCTTTATTTAAAATTAACAATATCAAGGAATACTTAATTTGTGTATGGCATAATATTAATAGATAATTAGTTCTTTTACTATTGCTTATACCTTTAATTACTTAATTATTGAAAATTACATTGATATTTTTAAGTAGCTACTTAATAGCTTAATCTACATACGTATAATACTTAATTTATGTACTTTTTATACTAAATATTAAAATTTTATTAGTAATTCGCTAAAACAAAGCTACTATCTGTAATCATACACATCTATTATTATCTAAATATAAATTGTAATCATCTGCATAAAATTTCGCACTATGCATTTTTAAATTTCATATAAATATTTTAAAAATCAAAATCAAACTTAAATTATAATTACATTAAAAATTAAAGGAAAGTAGTAAAAGAAATAATTCAATTGTAAGTTGAAGTTAGTTGAAGTTAACTAAGTATCATAAATAATAAAACCAAGAATTAAAATTGACTAAAAAAATTTATGTAAATTAAGTTAAGACAACATTATTGAAGTATTTTGTGTTTCAATGCTTGATGAAATATAAAGTAAACAAAAGGTGCAAATGAAAAGCTTTGTGCATTTATTGTGAAATGCTTCATTCATACGTCATTCATTAATTCTCTTTTTAATTTTAAAACCTTAAGAAGTTTTCGTTCATTTTTAAGACACTTATTAAAGTTGATTGTTAAATGCAATGAAGTTGAACTTCGATAGTCCGCTGTATTTTTGCGACTAGTGTGTAACAAGTTCCTTTTCCTAATATTTATGAAATGTATTCCACCATATCGAACCAACATAGTTGAAGTATGAATCCCTTGGTTACAAAGTTCGTGAATATGTATAATATAAATTTAATTTTTAGTAACTTATAAACCAAAAGAGTTCCATTTTTTCCGTGAATAGTTACTGTTTTTCGAGCCAATTGTAGTTGAAAAAGACCTTATTTGTATTGTTTGAAGCATAGTTTCTTTGGAAGTTGTAGTACCCCGTATTCTGATTCTATAATATATATGACAATAAAATAGAGAATATAACATAGATTTCTTGATGTACGTAATTTGTATACGTATAAATGTCTCAGTTCAAACAAGAATCAATCCACAAACTAAATTAATTAAAGTCTGCTACATGCTCAAACATTTGGTTATTTATATAATTATTTTACTTTGATCTTAATGAGCCAATAACCATATATCTATTTAGCTTTGCTTGTATTATTGAGCATTTTCTCGGTCATCCATTTGTCAATTTTACCCAATTATGAATAGTTTGTACTCAAGGCATACCCATCAGAATAATTTCAGCAATATATCAAGAAATTTAAATTGTAATGATGTGATCATTAAGCTCAAAAACAAATCTAAAAATAAAAAAAAATTTATATTAAAAATTTATTTTAAAAATAAAATGACAAAATTACTTTTATTACAATTTCTTTTTAAGTGCGCTAAATTTTAATTATTGTTAAATTAATTTTCAGATTAATAAATATGTGTACGTCTCATTTAACCCTTTCAACGTTACTGTTTCTACATATGTATGTATAATAAAATTATTAAAAATTCACGTTTCTCAAGTTTTAGATCAAGTTTTTTAAATGAAAATTTCAATAATCTCTGGTAAATAAGAACTATTAGGTGCCTGAGTTAAGTAACTTACATGATTTCAACTGAATATGTAGCTTAATAAAATAAACCTACATATTCAGCTGAATTTTATTTGAATTAAAAAAAAACTAACAGAAAATGTTATTTAAATTTTAAATCTAAAAAATACAGGCTGACATATTTGTTTATAATACATAGCAAGTTTCATAAAAATTTACAAACAAAAAAAAAGCTATGGAAAATAAATTTCTAACTAATAATATTCGTCAGAGTTATAGATCTTGTAATTGAAGAAAATCAGAAAGAAAAGCAACAAATAAAAACAGGTTACTCTTTATTTTAATTTTTAATTAAATATTAATGCGAATATTAAACCGTGTTAACAACACCTCTATACAAACTACATTATATAATTATCACATATTAATAATCGGCTTTGAAATAAATTAAAAATACAACAAAAAAAAAATAAAGTAAACGAAACAAATTTTGGAACAGGTTCGGTCAATTTTTACTGATTTCTGATTTTTAAAAGAATGTTTTCTTTATTTTAAAGTCAAGAATCTTTAGTGTCATATATCTACGATATTATTTTTACGATAATATTTTTACGATATTTTGACAATATTTTAATTCAGAGAGAATTAAAATATTACATAATGTATTTTTGATTTTATTTGATTTGAAGAAACGTATCTAAATATCGGAACTTATTCCAAGAACCACATTAACTACGATCAACATCATTGCATCGTACAAAATTGTTGTGATTGGTGTCATAAAAATTTAAAATCCAATTCTTGAAGACTCAAACCATTTGTGAAGGTTTGTAATTATAAGGTTTATATAATTGATATGTAATTTATAAGGTTTTTTCGATATAGTTTTCATTTTTTTACGATAAATATTATAACAGTTTAAAGTGAATTTATTGATTCGCTAATTTCGTGACAAGTTGTATATTTTTACATAAAAAGATATTTTCTTCATTTTTACTGTAACTTTTGTTCCCCTCTCCAACTTTTTGAAATTTAATTTTAGTGCAAACGTTTTTTTAATACGACAATTTTTTTATTATTTTGTATATACTGTACTATACAGCGATTATATACTAGTCTTATCAATAAAAGTGCTAAATAAAGTATAATAATAAATGTAATGAATCGTTGAGAATGAAATTAGTTCGACTGAAAATATCTTTGACTAAAATCGACGAACCAAATAATTCACATTTAAAATTATTCTGAGAACTGTCTAAACTGTCAAGAAAGAATTAATTAACCTGAAAAATTTACAAATAATCCATATTATGCCTATAATTTATTTTTATTAGCACAAAATTCTTCAAATTTGCTGGGGAATCTTACAATAATTTATCTTTACTGATAAATTATTGTTGAAATGTAAAATATTTTGGCGTGTGTCACTTCTTTTACCAAATTTCTTGCCTTAACCTTGATCAAATAATCATTACTACACCTGATGTATATACATTGTCTTTATTTTTCGAAACACTTCAACTATAGCCAATAATTTTTTAGAAAATTACGCTTACTTCTTAATTAAATTGCTCTTAATTTTATTTTGCTTACAACTTGGTTTCAAAACTATTACGTATTAATAGTAACGGCAACACGCACAATACTGTCATTTTTTTTATTAAATATATTTAACATTCATTAATATTAACAGAAAAATCAAACAAATTAACACATTTAAAAGGAAAACATTATTACAAATCAATCTTTTAATTTAATAGAAACAAGCGACAGTAAAACCTATAAATAATTAAAGATATTATGGAATTCCCAAACAACCAAGTAGAATGAATCACATTTCTACTTTAATATTACTTAAATTAATTAAAAAAAAAATAAATTTTTAATAATTCAAAAAATTTATTTATAATTTATGCAAAAACTTTTATATAAGCAGATCTCTTTCGAGTATAATTCATTTATATAAAAAACAAATTCAAAAGAATAAAAATTTATAAATATTATTAGCTAGTAAGAAACTAAATATAAATTGCTTGAAAACCGAAAGTTGTTTCTCTTATAATGTTTACTGAGTAAAATTTTAGAGGTAGTTATTACTTAGTTGTTGACTAAATTGGAATTGATTCGGACTAGTAAAATACGTTTTTTTAGTTTTTTTTTTTCATTCTGTTCAGAATTAATGACTCACCAATAGAATTATAATTTTAATTGTTTTTAGAATTTTGAAAATATTTTTAAAATAAAATGTATAATAAATTTATTATAATATCATTTTTATTAATAAATTTTGGATATAAAATATGTGCACGTAAGTTTATTTGACGATCATTTTAAGAAAATATTTTTTTTTAAAGAAATTATCAAAAATTACTTAAACCACAAGATAAATAACAGTAGTATATTATAAATAATATTACGAAATAATTACACATATACAGACATAATATATTTGATTATGACGCTTTCAATGTCAATGTTGAGTTGAAAGAGAATTGATAAACATATTTCGTAAATTAAAATTATTTAAAATGTATACTTACCAATCTAACAAGCATCTCTTACTTGCTGCCTATTTTGTTCATGTTGCATAAATTTGTTTATTTTAATATTCATCTGTTAAAATTGTTAAGCGATTTGATAGCGCGCGCGCCATCTGTGTTTGACAAATAATGTTATAATATTCAATTATAATGGTAATGAAAATTTTTGAAATTTATAAATTTATAATTAAATAAAAAATGTTGGTGGCACAGTTGTAGTCTATTTACATAACCTTATAAAAAAACTGTTACGATCAAGGTAAAGTTCTCTTATTTACTATATAAAAAAATTTATAGAGAGCAAAACTTGGAACCTTTTCAAAATTGTTGTTAGAAATATTATCCTCATTAAATTTTTGAAATGATAAATTATTTTTGCATTATATAAGCACTAATATAATGTTCTTCAAGGAAGCATAATTTTGTTGCTCGCGATAGTACAAATAAAACCTAAAATCTGTTATTAAATAGGTATAATTGAAGCTGTATCCATTTATTTTGTGTATAACATACAAAATTTTCAAATTTAAATAGTTTTATTAATTAAATATGTTTTAAATATATTAAAGATTTTCTTGAAAAGTTTAATTTTTAATTTTTATATTTATAGAAGGAGCAAATACGAATAATTTCGGACCATGTGAAGATGCAAAAGGAAAAACTGGTTTTTGTACATTTGCCGAAAATTGTCAGAGAATAAAAGATTTATTAGATAAAATAGAAGGTGGATCACTTACACAAGATGAAGTAGCTTACATTAATGGCAGTTCATGTGGCATTATAAATAAATCACCAATTGTAAGTAATACATATATAAATCTTGTAAATAGGAAACTAATTATTTTGTATTAAGATTTGTTGTGTAGAATTAATTGCGAGAATAGATAATGAACCTAACCTGACGCCATCAACAATATTTAAACCTATTGAAAGTTTACCAGGTTTAGAGAATTGCCCTGTTACATCTACTCCAAAACTTTTTGGTGCTACTGACACTAAAATTGGTGAATTTCCTTTCATGGCTGTATTATTATATTCTATAAGTAAATCTATATTTAAGAAATAAAATTGGCACCATTATTATAAAATTTAAATTTTTTAGATAACAGAAAAGCTGATGGAAAATGTGCTGGAAGTTTAATAACTGAAAGACATGTTTTAACTGCTGCACATTGTTGTAAACATCCAAAATTAGGAAAAAGAAAAGTAACTGGAGTCCGTTTAGGGGAATGGGATGTTACAACCGATCCAGATTGTAAAGATGGATTATGTGCTGATCCTCATCAAGATTTCGAAGTCAAAGACATTATTATACATGAAGATTATGATCAGGTGACTGTCGTGAATGATATAGCTTTACTTAAACTGTCCACAGATGTAAAATTCTCCGATTTTATTAAAATAATTTGTCTACCAACTGATCCTGAACTGGCAAATGATAATTTAGTTGATGTTGTTCTAGATGTTTCCGGTTGGGGTTTAACTGAAAATGGTGTATATAGTAATAAGAAATTAAAAGTTGGTTTACCAGTAGTTTCATTAGAAGAATGCAATAAAGTTTTTAAAGCCGAGTATAGAAGTATCACAGATTCACAGATCTGTGCGGGTGGCATAGCACAAAAGGATTCATGTACCGGTGATTCCGGTGGCCCTCTAGTTGGAATTGATGTTCGAAGTAAAGCCCAACATTATAACTATTTAGTTGGTATTGTATCTTATGGTATAGGATGTGGAAAGGAAAATATACCAGGAGTATATACGCGTGTTGGAGCTTATATTGGTTGGATAACAAATAAAATAAAATTGTAGTATTTTTATTTTGCTTTTACTTTCCTGTATTTTATATGTTATACGTATGTTTGTGTGTTTAAATATAATAAAATTTGATAATATGTGAAAAATTCAACATATAAATTTTTATTGCTTTTGTCGTCGATAAAAAAAAATTTAACTCTTTTGTTTCTATTATTACACATTTAAATTAATAATATAAATGTGTACATATGTAGTAAAAGCAATTGGATAAAACAATTATTTTTAAGAAATGTGGTGAGATTAAATAAGGGAAGAAGAGAAAATCTTCAAATTTAATTAACAATATTTTCAAGTTTTAATCACATTTATCAACATTTTAATACAGGACGAATCGTAAGACTAAACCTTATATAAAGCAGTACATTTACTGAGATTTTGATCATTATAATAAATAACATTTTATTTTGGAATGACAATATAAGATCTTTAAAATTCTTCACCACACTTATTTAAAAATTCATATATTAGGAATAAAAATTACAAGAGAAATACAATTTCGTGAGTGAAATTGATTTATTATTCATTACATAAGGGTAATCTATAGGAGCAATCAAAAATTTTCTTATCCGAATTTTTATAGCAAGAATCTCAACTGATCTTCAATTAACAATTCTTTGCCGTAAAACAATAAAGTTGTTTAAAATAATTTTGGTTTTATAAAATTATTAAAATAGTTGAATAACATTACACATACCGGCATGAGAAATACTGGAAAACAATTATGTACATGTCAAACATCTTTTTTTAATTGTCATTAAATATATATACAAATATTTATTCATTATGATGAATAATGCAATTTTTAACATATTTTATTAAGTAAAAATTTGTTTAATTCTTTCAAAAGGGGATTCCATAGAATAAAAGAGGTATAAGAACGCAAAATCACAATTAATTTTAAGATTAAACATAATATGTAGATATAATGCATACGTACATATATATAATTTTCACAAACCCATATGTTATCTATGTATAAACATACCCGTAACGTTATTACATTATACTTTTATACGTGTGGGTACGTAACATATTTGTTATTGTATTTATTTTTGCTGGTTTTCCTGAAGATTAAACAAGTTTTATTTTCTTTCAATTTAATTTTTACTTTTAGCATTTATTTAAATATAATATATAAATTTGCTTATATATGACAACATACATACACATATACATATGCACATCTTTTCTATACTACCTCAATCACCATTAAATCGCAAAAATTCACTAACAATAAAGTAAGTTGTGAATAAGGGAAATATTAAATTTCATATATGTACGAGTATGTATGTAAAATCTTGTATTCTTGTATAGATGATAGAAATTTATATTTAAATCATATTTATATTAGTACATACATATATATTCTAATAATTATGAAATTTGAATTTATTGTATAAATTATCCGATATTATATTGATAAGAAAAATTTACAATGTTATACGTTCCGAATTGTATAAAATGCAATTTTCGAAACGCAGAGAAAAACATTCCAATTGTGCATTCGAAAAATTATATATGATTTTCTGTAAAATTTTAACGATAAATGCAGGTATTGCATACTGGTATTTCGTTAATTAATATTTAAATTTACATAACGCTAATTTTTTGACATTTTGCGTTAAATTTGGATGTTGAAATGGACTGCCAAATTTTAAGAATTGTGGTAACAAAAAATTTTATAATAAGTATATAAAAATGTCAACGCCAAAACAATCAAAATTTGTTTTTGTTTGAAAATACAGCATATTAAGTTTTGGAATTAAATAGGGTTTAATTTAATAGGAATACTATTATGCGTTATTAATTTTACCATTCATGAGGTTTTGGTAAACAGAAAGGTTAAACTGAAAGTAATTAAATTTTAAATTTTTTACAATTAAATAATTTATACGAATTATAAGTAATTAGGGTGGTAATAAATATTATTATAGAATGATCAATATTATACCTGTAAAATTTATTTATAAAATTAATTAACACAATACTATATAAATATGTGTATAATACATTTTAATTAAATGTCATTATTAACATTTATAACTAATAAATTTATATTATTAAAGAACAGAAAATAAAGTTTGATTAAATATTAAAAAAAAAAAAAAATAAAAGAAAATAATAATTTTTTATATTATGACGCTTCTTAAACATATAGCATATATATATATATATATATATATATATATATATGGATGTATATGTATGTATGTATTTTCGTTTAAAAACTAAGTTTTTAGAACTTTTGTGCTAGCTTCCGCGCAACTAATCAAAATTCATACTATATACTTATATACATACGTACATATATACTTATATATTAATGTTTATTTAAAAAAAATAACTCTCAGTAAAATGAATTCAGTTATGATTAAACAACGCGACTATTAAGTTGCTTTTGAAAATTTTCTCGTTTCATTTTCATAAAAATATTATTTGCAATTAAATTGAATAATAATAACAATTAAAAAAATAATAATATTATTTGTTTTAATAAAATTGAAATTAAATTATTAAAAAAAAAAAAATAATAACTAAAATGATCTTTAAATTAAAAAATTTGTTAAATTTTATTTTATTTTTAGGATTAATTCAAATAATTAATTGTCGTAAGTTTTTAATAATTTCATTAATAAAAAAAAATTATTTTAATATTTTAAATTATGTTTTATTAAAAATATTTAATAAAATAAATTTAATTATTATGCAACAGAAAAATATTTTTAATTTTAAATATTTATAAAAAAAATATTTCGAAAATATTTCTACAAAATTATATTTTTTTTTTTATCAACAACAATATTGTAGTTCTAAAGGTGCCTTTATTTGAACTTGTGAAAATTATCAACAATTTTTTAATAAAAATTATTGTTATCATTTTTAAAATTAAATAAAAAATAATATTAAAATTCCCGAAAAAAAAAAAACAACAAAAATTTTAAATCACGAATTAAATCCTGTTCTCAATTAATTTGTAGAAACAAAATACATATACATATATATATGTACATAATATGCATGTATGTACTTAAATAATATTTTTTTGTAAAATTTGAGAAATTAAATATTTTTGTTTTTATACAATATAAATAGTGAAATAATATAAATATAGTGATGTGATTAGAATTTTAAAGAGAATTTTTAAGAGAGCAGAGACGAATACAATAGAATTTATTTGATTTTCAATTGAGAAAATATTATTTTGTTTTTGTTATATTTTAATTGAGTTTCTTATAATTAAATTTAAATATTGCGTGTAGATAATAGTAATTTAAAATAATGTTTGATGTACATAGAGCATATACATATATATATACAATATACATGCACACATATATGCATATAATGTGATTAATATACCTAAATATATTATAAGGTTTAATCTGTACATTGTTACCAGTTCTATTGAATATTATGCTGAATCAAAATACGATAAAATCTTAGTTATATTGTTTTTAAAATAAATTTATAGTGAATAATTACTGCAACCATAAAATATTTTATTGTATAATTAAGAGAATTAAGTTAATATGCATATCAAAAATTTATTCTCGTTTTTAATAAAAATTATATGAAAAGTTCATATTCAAAATTTCCAATACATAATGTATTTACGTATGTACATAGTTATTTACTGTTTAATAATAATTATATTATATATATGACGTATAATTTGATCAACGCGGAAAGTTTAATTTTTCAGCTCTATAATTTAATATTGAAGTATTGCAAATTTTTTAAAATTTAAGAAAGAGCTACGAGTGCCCACAATAATAAATTTTGATAAAGAAAATTATTGGCAATTTCTATTTTTCAATATTGTTTCCAATTAATAATTACAATTTGTATATTACTTGCCGGTAAAAAATTACACTTTGATTAGTAAGTTAATAAAAAACAGAATTAAGAAATAAAAAGGGTTATTATTAAGAAGAACAAAGAAATTTTAATTTCTTCGAAGTTTTTATAAAAAAAATATTGTTTAAATTATATTTTTTTGTAAATTAAAATCAAGTATGCTCATTGAAATTGTCAATAAAGAGGAGATTTTTATAATATAATCTTGACTGAGTTCAAGGTTACGGTCTTAAATCAACAATACTTTAATATCATATATTAATAATGTACATATGTATGTAATGTAGTACAAATAATACATATAAATGTACTTATATAATACAAAAAAACATTAATTAATTGGTCATACAAAATTTTGTTTAACAAAATTAAGACTGTGGATTCAGTAATTAGTTTAGTTTTAAGATCAATAACAAAAAGATTAATTCAGCTTAACCAAAAAAAGATTGATGATTTCAATATAAATTTTTTTCGGCAATATTATAACGAAAAATTAAAAAAAAAAAAAGAAAATTAATAATAAGAAATAAGGTAATCTTGTTCAACAGACCTTTTGTGTAATGTTTAAGTGATCAACTATGACCCGTTTGTATATGGAGACAAAAGAAATTCAGAAATTGCAATTAATTTTTCATAGGATACAATAATATTTTAGATATTTTGGCATAAGTTTTTTTTAGAATTTATGACTGACTGTGATTTCTTGTACTTTTTCATTGAGCTTTAAATAGTGCTTTAATAAAATATACAGAATTCTAGAAGAGTTTCAATAGTTTCATTTGCGTTATGACAATTTTATGTTACAACTTACGAGTCCAATTCCATATTTAATATGTTCATAAATGATCAGTTTTCGTTTTATTATTTTCTAATAATAATGTTGCTACAATTTGTTAAAACCTAAGAACATATTACATTACATAAACTGGCTTGAAGATGAAAAAAAATATCCATTAAATATTTGGTTTTTACAAAGCACAATACCAACAAGAAAACATTAATAAATTGTGTACTTTAGTAGTACATACACACGTACACTACACGCTTAATATTGACTTTGTTAAGGCATAATTATAGTTTAGACTTAATGTTTTAAATAAACTGGCTATCGTATGTATTTTATGTTTATTAATTATTATTTTTTATTTTTCAACTTGCGATGGGTTTTTATTTTTGAAAAAACCTGTTTTTTTTTTTTTATTCGAAATCTATTTTTTATTTTCAATTTGTTTTTTAATTTACATAAGTATATATTTTTATATTTTGTATTTCGTAAGATTTAGCAAATGAATTTACATACATATGACTTGATATTTCGCATAAAGAAGTATGAAAGAAACCAGCAAGAAGTTTTATTTTTCGGTAACATTGAACTTAAACTTTATGATTAACATATTGTATAGGCGTTGCCGGTAACGCGTGTTGAAGTAAATATTGAAAAGTGGCAATTCGGATGTACTTGAATATTATGTATAGCTGAGGTCATATTGGTTGTTTCTTTTTGAAAATCTAGCCATTCTCATTCAAAAAAACCCTTTATTAAAGGCTAGTTGGTCACACCGAAATAATTATATATGCACGTACATATATGTATATGTATGTGTGTATGCATGTTTTAAAATCATAAATTTTAATGGGATTTAAGAATATAAATTGGGAACAAGTGGTAGTCCTATGACGACAGTAATATGATAATCATAAAAATTAAATATGTGACATTAAGTATGGATACATAATTTCTCTTGGTTATGACCGAACTGTGACGTTCTTTTTAAAAAAAGCATATTCTTTATTTCAAGTTTTAGCAGATTCAGTAAAATACGTAAACTTTTGTTTTTTTATTAGTATGGATAAACCACAATTATGAATGAACCATAACTTCTTATTAAGTAACTATATGAACACATGTGTATACGTCAGTCATTTTCATATGAGTTTAATACATCAGCAGACAATGTCGTATATATATAGGTGCGGAATTTTTAAGAATTCTGAAATCCCATTATCAATTAATTTTAAGAACCAAAAAATCTGGTTTTCCCTACTCATCTTAATTTCTTCTTAATCCATAAATTTTGTTTGTTATTCTTTTCAAAATTTTCTTTATTCGAATTTTTTATTTTTAATTATTCAATTCTATAAGATAAATGTGTATGTGCATATGTATATTTATACGTATGCATTTATAGTTGTATAGTTAGTACATGCTATATACATGCTACATACACTCAATGTATAAATTGCAGGATATTTACTCTATAATTAATACTAAACCAGATAAAATACAGTTGATCATGTCAACACTGTAATACACTTACGAATTTGTTATGCTATGATTGAGCAAAAATATTATAGCTATATAACTGTGGGACAGACTATGACTTAAATTACGCTGGTTTTATTTTACAAGAATTTATAAGGGTGTATTTGATCGCATTTACTCAGGAAATAAGAAAAAAAAAATAATTTTTATTTTTAACAAAAATCAAATTTCGACAATATTAAATTATATTCGAAAGTTGTATAGTTCACAGCTATAGGTAAACTACGTACAGTTCTTGTATTGAGTAAGTTCGTATATCAAATATGGTTCTGGTATTTACTACCACAAGCTCTTTGCTAAATTTTAGTATAGATCTTAGCTCTATCAACTTTTAAGTTATCGCTGGTATGGAAAACATGTTTAAATCGAATCAGAATTCAACGCTGATCAAAAACATACGCTTATGTCTATACCTTAGACTATTATTTCTTTGAGTTACAAACAATAAGGTAAATTTATAATAACAACAAATAGGCTCATTACTGGTATAGGAATTTATCTCATTCCTTCCCTCTTTAATTCCTCAGAATTAAATGAGAATTAAATAATAAGAGTAACCCCTCACTTAAGTACATGTTTTTGATTCACAATAGTGAGGTTCAGAAGCAGTGTGATGTAACCCATCTTATGGAGATTCTACTGTAATCAGTTTGATTTTTTAACGAAAAAGATTTCAAACATTCTTTAATTCTTGAAATGAACTGATAAAATTTTTTAATGAGCTTTAAATACAAGAGAATTTAACAATTTCAATATAAAAAAAATCTAATTTGTTAAATTAATTTTCTTTCTTTCTCATTCTTATTTTAAGAGAGAATTGTCTTCCCGGACGATGACGTTGAGACGGTAGATACATCATCAAGAGTTACACAAAATTATGGCGCTTGTACTACACCAAACCGTAGAAGTGGTACCTGTATTAGAATTCGTCAATGTAGAAATTTATGGCAATTAATTGAAAAACAAGTTTCTTATCAATTAAGCTATGCAGAATTAGTTTTCCTTAGAAATAGTCAGTGTGGAGAGCAGGATGGGGTTTTGGTAAGAAAAATCAATATATTTTTTTTGTAATATATGCACAATGTATATAAACAATGTACACTTATTATTTTATTATTTAAAATAATGCGCCTATAGACAATATAATATTTAAAAAAATTTTGCAATTTAATTTTATTATAAAATATCCTTTTTTAAGGTTTGTTGTGAACCAAGTCAAATTCAACCTGATGCTCCTACACCAGCCACAAGACCACCTACTGTTAGACCTACAAATAGACCAACACAAAGACCTCAAACCAACAGTTTATTACCAACAAATAGTCAGTGTGCAATGACTAATAATCGTATTTATGGTGGTAAAGAAACACAATTAGGAGAATTTCCATGGATGGCTTTAATTGAATATACGAAAAGTAAGTCAATATTTGTTATTTTTTTAAAATTTTAAATTAATTATGGTTATAAAGGTAAGAAACGAATACTCATTAAATTAAAAACGAAATGGTGTATATGTACATAGACATGTATAAGATTTTCTTAATTTTTCACATTAACATCATCATTACATTTCTCTTGTTATTCCATTTAATTTTCTATATTATTGTTACATACCATCAAAACTTACATACATTCCCACATTCATGAAATCTTCAAAAGGAGTATACAGAATTAAAAACTTAACCCAATAGTGTAAAAAAAAAGTGTATAACAAAAGGCACTTCTTCAAATATTTCGTTTAAATTTGGAAATTTGGAAAGCCTATTTGAAAAAATAATATTTTTATTGCATTGTAACAAAACAAATTTTCAAATTGAGGCTTAAGTCGAATGTTTTGAGCACAGCAAATTATGTAAGTGTAAATTAATTAACAAAGTTCTTTGAAAGAATTTAATAATTAAAAACTGAAATGAGTGAATTCAGCTAAAAGCAATCTGAAGTGGTTAGTACATAACCGACCGCAGGACTTACTATCTAATTCTAGCGAAAATGTTGCATAAGAATGCCATTGTTTTAGACATTTTCATGTTTAATAGACATGAAAATGTCTATTAAACACTTCTTTATGCCATTCGATTTCAAATTTCAAGAAATTTCGTCAATTAGATCTCCAGTAGATTATCGACCACTAGAGTAAATTCTGTTTCCGAACCCTGATACTTCCAAAAATTATTTTGTTGGTGTTAAAACAAATTGTTTATTTGAACAATTATGAATTAAAATATTAAAAATCAAGGAAATCGGTTGATTATTTTTCTGCATACAGATATGTAAAATTTGGTCAGTAGTAGAGGAATAGTTGTTGATACCTGATTTCGATGAAAAATTAGTTGGCTTGTTGTACTATCATACGAAAATTATATGTAAAATATCAAGTTGATCTGTTTAATATTTTCTTAAAAATGTTGAAAAAGGCAAAGTTCCAGTTCCCGTGGTCTGAAATATCTTAAAAGTTGATTAAAAGTTGGATAAATCTTACAGTAATAATTTTTAAGATTGAATATTGTATTCGCTATAATTTATTTAGAAGAGAAGAACAAACGGAGATCCTGGAAGACAGAGTGAAACAAATTGGCATGATTTTTTTTTTGATTTTTTTAGAAGTAGAAAATAAATTGCGCTTTTCAATAAACAAATTATAATTAAATTGGGGCCAAAATTATACAAACAAAACTAATGTATAATGGCAAAGTTATTGTTAGAAATTTAAATGCTCATTATACATGTGCTCAAAGGCAACAAAATATTAAATGTCTCTTAGTTTTTGCATGTTTAGAAATATTTTCAGATTACTTGCCATTACATATTTGTTTTTTGCCATCGAAATTTTAATTCCTCTTGGTCTAAGAAAAATTAGAAAATTTCTAATTCTCACAAAGAGTCGCTAATTGATCTTCAATAAAATTTTTATCAAGAACTTCATTTAGAACCATTATTAAGGACGCAAAAGAACACAATAATAATTCTTTTTTTCTTAATTTTTTAATCTTGTGCAGCAGTAAGAATTTTTGTGTTTTATGTGGTAAAAAGGAAAAACTTTAAACAAACACATTTTTCATAATTTTTTAATAAACAAAAAAACTTGATTAAAGCCATTAATTAAAATTTATGAACTACACAAGCTATTCCAATTATTCTTAAATTTATTTTTTACCTTTAAATAAATTTTCCTTTTATATCATCAAAGTAATAATAATAATCTATTTTTATTTCAAATAAATATCATAAAATATTTTTGGTGTTTGGATAATAGCTTATAAATAATTATAATTCAAAATTTCAATATTATGATTATTAGAATATTTTTTTTTCCATTTAGACGTAGGTGAACCAGGACATCATTGTGGTGGTAGTTTAATCAATGACAGATATGTTCTTACTGCAGCACATTGTATTAAAAAAATAAGTAAAGATTGGCGATTAAATGCCGTCCGACTTGGAGAACATGATATTGAAACAAATCCAGATTGTAGTTATGATATTAATAATAATGAAGATTGTGCACCTCCACATATTGATATTCCGGTTGAAAAATTTATTGTACATGAGAGTTATAATCCAAATTCAAAAACTCAAGTAAATGATATTGCCTTATTACGTTTATCATCACCAGTTAAATTTAATAAATATATCCAACCGATTTGTTTGCCATTTTCAAATTATTTACAAGATTTAAATTTAACTGGAATTGCTTTAGAAGTAGCTGGATGGGGAAGAACTGAAAGTGGTTATCCTAGTACAAAAAAATTAAAAGCGCTAATTAATGCAGTTTCATTACCATCCTGTAATTCAGTTTATTCTAATAAGAACGTTATTCTTGAAAGTAATCAATTATGTGCTGGTGGTGCTGAAGGTATTGATTCATGTAATGGTGATTCAGGTGGTCCTTTAATTGGTGTTGATACTTCAGCAAAACAACATTATTATTATTTAGCTGGTTTGGTATCATTTGGTCCAAATCCTTGTGGATTAAAAGGATGGCCTGGTGTATATACAAAAATAGCTCCATATGTAGATTGGATTCATCAAAATATCGAACCATAATTTTTTTTCTAATTATATTTAGTTATAGCTTTGTTTAATTGTAACAAAATAATCTTATAAATAAATAATTTTTTAAAAGAAATAAGTGTATACAAAAGTATATGTTAGTTTAATTACTCGACCGTTCCTTAAACACTGAATTGAAAAAAGAAAAAGTATATAGAAGAATTAATCATTATTTAGTAACACATGATTTACATTAAATATACATTATTATTGAGTTTTAAAAACAAAAATTTTTAATTGATCTTATTTTCTGACCTTCACAATTAAAATTCAAATATTTAAAATTTCATTTTTTAGATAATGGAAAGATAAGTCATCATTGTAGTGGAAGTTTAATTACCAAACGTTATATTTTGACTGCAGCTCATTGTCTAACAGGAAAAGTTCCCGATCAATATACACTTTCAGGCGTACGTTTAGGAGAATGGGATAAATCTACTAATCCAGATTGTATTTCGGATATAAATAATAATGAATTTTGCGCAGGCTTGCATATTGATTTACCAATTGAAAAAGTAATTGTTCATGAAAATTATAATGCAAATGATATAAATCAATACCATGATATTGGTTTGATAAGATTATCTCGAAATATTGACTTTACATCATGGATTCAGCCAATTTGTCTCCCTCTGGAAGACCATTTAAGAAGTATGACACATTTCAATGAAACATTAACAATATCCGGTTGGGGTAAAACAGAAAATTCTAAAAATAGTAATAGACAATTAAAAGCGGATATTAGAATAGTTGAAATAGATACTTGTAATTCAAAGTACAATGATTTTAATATAACGGTTTCTAACAATCAATTATGTGCAGGAGGCGTTATAGGAACAGACACTTGCAATGGTGATTCAGGAGGTCCATTAATAGCCGTTAATAATTTACCAAATTATGAATATTTTATAGCGGGTATCGTATCGTATGGACCATCTCCTTGCGCCTTAGAAAATTGGGCAGGAGTTTATACGAATGTCGCTAAATATTTAGATTGGATACTTAAAAATATTGAACCGTAAAACGACTATTGATCATTTTTCAAATTTAATAAAAGATGCTACTTTCAATAATATTTTCCTCAATTTTTATTTTTAATAAATATATGCAGAATAATTTCCAAGAGAAATTATAAGTTTTTCTATTTTTGATTTTGAAAACCCCTTAGAATCGCTCTTTCTCTTTTAGTTTAATCCGAAAAAGGGAAATTGAGGGCGAAAAACGAATTCTTTTGCAGTGCTATACGAAAATAGACCATAACTTAATTGTGAAAATAGAAATTAACTTAAAAATATACAATAATTTTCATTTTCATTACCGAAAAAAATTTTTTCATTTTAAAATCTTACACTTAATCAATTTCAAGAAAGTGTTACAGTCGTCTATAACCACAACACTGGCTAAATATCAACTCAAATACTATATTTAATTATCTTAGACCTTCGAAACTGTAAACAGAATTAAATTTTAATAATATTTTAAACTTTATCATTTACATTAATATAACAAAAAAAAAACCTTTTAAACTTAAATGGATGTGTTACGCATTTACATAGATCGGTATTTAAGGCATACACCAAAATTAATTATTTATTTGTTAACTATTTTTTAACAGGACGAAAGAGACCTAACAAGTAGACTTGCAGAGCTCTATAAAAAATTATAGACTGTACAAAATATATGACTATACGTAAGAAAAAACATTTTGTGTATAGTAAACACATAAGTGTTACGAATACCTTTTCTGCCACATGCACACGCTCTAAAAATATAACCGCAATACCGCATAGTGCACAATCAATCACTGTATCAAATAAATGCAATCAATATTCTTAATGAGAACAAATGTACATTTTTCTAAGCGACTAGTCTATGTACGTATGTATATACATATTGAACTATATTTAATTTAACAGAAATTCCTTAAGGCCATAACAAAATAAAGCCCATACAATAACTAAACAGACAAAAAGAGACCATTTATCTTATGATAAAAGCAATAGTAATTATGGACTAGATTACAGATTGTACACCACTTGTTTTATAAAAACAAAGCTGCATCTTAAAATGTTATTCATAAATATATTAATTATAGTTATTTATATCTTAATTTATCTTTAAAAAAATCACTTGACAAAATCTCAAATTTTTTGATTACTAATTATTTTCAATGAAGCAGTAATGATTTTTTTTGTTAAAAACAAGTTCTAAGAAATTAAAAAAGAGAATTAAAATAATATAATAACAAATTAATAAAAAATTAATTCTTGGTAAAAGAGCACATTTTCAATTAAACAGAAAATTTAAACTTACAATTCTAGGATTAAAATAAAAAAGGCAATAAGCCAATAAATTTAAATGAGATTACACAATACTAGTTATTTACGAATTAATTAAAGTCTATAGCGTAGAATCAATAATAATTGCATGAGATTCAGTAAAAAATCTCAATGGATCAAAAAAATTAATAAGAAAAATTTCGTTTTTGAAAAAAAAAAATTACGGGACAGACGAACAAATGTGAAAATATAATCAAATATAATTAAAATCATCTTCGAACTTGTTATGTACTGAAAGATAAGCTGTTTTTCTGCAGATTTTTAAACGATATAATATAATAAAAAAACTTGATTTTTTTAATCATGTGATTAAATGTGAGTTTTAATGAAAAAAATCTCTTAAAGATTCAGTATCATACTAAGGACAAAAATATTAATGCACAATATTAATTATGCATTCCAATTTTGTCATATAATTTTAAATAAATGACAAGAAACATGGAAATACGTGGTCCACATTTTCAACCGAATTTATTTAATACTTAATTAATTCATATATGAAATCAAAATAAAATGAAATTTTTGTACAAAAAATAAATAAGTATTTAGGGTTTGTATATGATTCTACCATTGTTTGTCTGTAAACACTACTAATGTGTTATAAGAAAAAATCACACCGAAAGAAATTCATTTGCTTATTAATGGAAATACTTTCTTATCTTACAAAGATGTCTTCCTTGAACATACTTCAACCTTTTAGGGCTAAGGCAAACAAGCAAATTGTCGTTTTGCTATTAGTGTTTGATTGTAAAATCAGTGTATGTACGCACTATACTAAACTATAAAGCGTTAACTAAAAATTGCAATCAGTTTTTAAAAATATACAAACTGTTTGATTGCATGAGATCATACAGTTGCATGTGTTGAATATGAACCTATGAAATACAAGTAACCAATTAAACAGTTGCAAAACTAAAAATTGCATGTCTGCCTGAGCCCTTATACAAGATTTTTTTTCATATATTTTTCTTAATTAAAGAAGTAAATTGTAAAAAAGATCTAATGACGACCCTGCACTAATTTCAATATAGGGAAATAATATTTTTATATCTCTTTAATAATTTTTCAATTTAGTTAAGTTAAAGCAGCCCAACGATAAGTTGGTTTTTCTTTTAATTTACAAAATCAATTTTGTTGTTTTTTTTTTTATTAAAAGCTGTTGAATGTCCACTGAAATGAGTTTTTTTCAACCGAATTGTTTTCTTAGTTTATTTTTAATTTTGACAATTTTTCAGGCATTTAACTGTCGTAAGTTTTATTGTTATTACTTTTTATACTTTTTTTTTGATTAAATCTAAGATTTGAAGATTTTGTGTTATAATTCTTATACTATAAGAATTTCCATTCACAATTATATTTGTTTTTTTAATTATGGTTAGTCGTAATTATTTTTTTATTTTTAAATTACAGACTTTAATTCTGAAAACAAAATATTTTAAGAATTTTTGTTTTCTTTTAAATTGAATAATAAAGCTTTCAATATTTATTTAAGAAGGCAAAAATTGAAATTCTCTTTATTTGTTTTTATTCCAAGAAAAACTAAAATTTCTTAAAAAATCTCTAATTTCAGTTAGAATAAATGATTTCTAAATTTTCTTAATAAATTATATTATGAATTTGATTTACATACACATGTATGTATACTATGTAAGTATGTTGTAATAGTTTTGAATCTATTTCGGCTAAAATGTAAATGGAACACAAAAAACCGTTAAATATGTACCTGTTACGTAGCATTTAATCGCTTTGAATAATGGTTTTTTATAATATTAATAGAAATGGGAATAAATAGGAATAAAAGGATGTACTTATACATAAGTTATATAATAATAATAATGTATATAATTTTTAAACATTTTTTTTTAAGAAATAATTTTTCCAAGTGATGATACACCTAAACCAGCAATTACCACACTTGTAAGAGCTGTAAATTATAGGGAATGTATTGGACCAAATAGTATCCAAGGTTTTTGTGTTAAAATTCATCAATGTCAAGATGTATGGAAATCGATAAGGGAAGAATCTTATTATAAGCTTTCTTTGGATTTAATTCTCTCTAGGAAACGTGAATGTGGAGATATAGATACATCATTGGTAAGATTAAAATTAAAATTATATGCTCTTACATAATATCATGTAAAATGTAAATTAACAAATTAATAATAATCTAATTCAAATGCAACAATTAAAATTAATCCAAGTTGTATTCGAAAATATGGCTAAACTCTATTGTACTGAATCTGGATTCACTGTTTTTTTGTATTTCAGTTAAACCCAAATATTCATTATTGAATAATAATGTAATTGACTTTCAGTAAATTTTGTAAATTAGGCTTGAATTTTCGAATTATTAAACTTTACTAACTAAATAGAAAAATTTATCTATATAGGGTAAATTAAGGTTATAATTATCAAAGCAAGCAAAATGTTTTCATGTAAATGAAAATAAGAAAAATTCATATGAATCAATATTTTCTACTGACAAAACAGTGTATTAGAAAATTTTCAATTATTCAAAGAGCGAATCATAAAGATGCGATTGGAAATATAAAATATTTCGTTAAATTTTGTTAATTTTCCAATTTATCATCTTAACTATCTTAATAATGACATTTCTTTTAATTTAAATTTTAAAAAAAAAAATATTTACATATGCACATACATACATATATAACTTTAATATTTCCACCTTATGCCATATTTTTTAGGTGTGTTGTGATCCCAATCAAATAGAAATAGAAGAAAGTACAGAAACTTCTGCAGACATACCTAATACCTCAACAACTACATCATCTATTAATAAAGAACTACGTACTAAATTGCCATTATCAAAAATAGATTTGTTGCCTCAAGGCCCTCAGTGTTATATAGATACAAATTGGCGTATTTTCGGTGGTACAGAAACGAAATTAGGTGAATTTCCATGGTTAGCATTAATTGAATATGAAAAAAGTAAGTGAATTTTATTTTTGATTTTCGACGTTTCTGAAACTTTGGGTATTGTTAAAAATGCAGTTCTTCACTTCGTGTAAGAGGTTTTGAAAGCATTGTAGTTCTAACCTTAAGAACTGCATTTTAAAAAATACATAATAAAAAGTTATAACTAATATATTTATAAAGATATTTTATACTTATGCATTTTAAAAAGATATTCAATGAATTATCTTTATATTGAAAGCAATGGTAAATTTTTATGTTCGTAAAATAAATTTAATTTTATTAAATGCATATTATATTAATATTGTTTTTAGAAAACGAAGATCCAGGACATCATTGTGGCGGCAGTTTAATCAATGACAGATATGTTCTTACTGCAGCACATTGTGTCAAAAAAATTAACAAAGATTGGCGTTTAAATACAGTACGACTTGGGGAGCATGATATTGAAACGAACCCAGATTGCGTTATCGATATAAATAAAAATAAAGAATGTGCACCAGTTCATGTTGACGTTACAATTGAAAAGGCTATTGTCCATGAGAATTACAATGCAAGTTCTAAAACTCAATCAAATGACATTGCTTTATTGCGTTTATCAAAGCCTATAAATTATACTAAATATATTCGACCAATTTGCTTGCCAATTTCAAGTAATTTACAAGAATTAAATTTAAATGGAATATCTATGGCAATTTCTGGATGGGGAAGAACTGAAACAGGTTATGCAAGCACAAAAAAACTAAAAGCAAAGGTAGATGTTGTTTCATTATCGTCTTGTAACATTGTTTATTCCGAATACAATGTTGCTCTTAACGATAGACAAATTTGCGCAGGTGGATCCAAAGGTGTTGATACGTGCAATGGTGATTCAGGTGGGCCATTAGTCGGTATTGATACATCTACCAAACAACATTCATTTTATTTAGCGGGTATAGTTTCATTTGGTCCAAGTCCTTGCGGATTGGAAGGGTGGCCTGGTGTTTATACTAAAACAGTACCATACTTGAACTGGATACTAGAACGTCTTGAGCCATAACTTCAAATTATGTATTTTTTGTATTAAATTGTGATATAAGTTTGTCCAAAGGAAAAAAATAATTTTTAATATTCCAATATTTTGTATTCCAAAATAATTTATTTTATACATACATATGTACGAAATCTTTTCCTTTTAATGATCCATTAAATTCTAAGGGGACAGGATATAAAGAAACTATATAAGTATGTATATTAAGTTAAATAAAACCAATTACTTATGTATATAAAAAATTGATTTGTTAAAAATTGCCAAGAGGCAAGAGAATTTGTAGCCTTAATTGGCTTAGAATAATTTTATCTAATTTATTTATTTTTTTTTTTCTTTAGTCAATTGAATGTAGTAATGCCACTTTTTGGCAGACAAATCGGTATAGCAAACAACCAAAACACTATCGAAGATAGTTTCGATAAGAAAAAACAAGATTATCGAGTACTTTGTTTTTTTTTAATTTGCTGTATACCAATCGGTATACAGTAAATTACTTCACCTAACTTCAATATTTGTACATACCAATGTGCAATCTTCCCCCAGCAATTTACCAATTTGTTATCTTGTGCATTCATATATAGTTTTACTTTTTCTCGGTGGGAATGCTTCACGGAACTTACATCTTTTATAGTTGATTGTTGCTTTTCTTTTGTTCCTTTCCCAATTCCTTCTCACAAACTAATTTAAATGACTGAAAAATAATAACGAAAAAGCTTAGTTTAACTTCGATAGACCTGACAGTACAAGAAATATTTTCCCCAAAAAATATGTAGCTGAGTATCAATTTTTAGATACTCCAAGAACACTTTGCCACTAAAACAAATTTTTCCCGCTAAAAAGGTTAGTATTTTTTTGATGATATATTTTTATTGATTAATTTTACTAACGTTAGGGTTTATGCAAAAGAAAAGATATTTTCATATTTTATCACACATCTATTAAAATAAGAGATCTGCGGTGAATTTTTCGTTCTTAATTTTGGTACAATCTGAATTTTCAACGAAAGTAAGAATGTACTAAATTCACTTTGTACCATTAGGTCAAAAACAAGCTAAATTGACGCACACTTGACATATTTTTGGTGACAAAAATTTCAATATGCATTGAAAAAAGAATACGAGAGAAACGTGTAATTGAAAGTTCAAAACTGTGTAACTAAAAGTACATCGTTGACTAAAGTAGAACTGCCAATCTACATTATATATTTATTTACCTTAATTTATAATACAATACAAAGTTATTTATTGAATGAAGTATATTTTACTCAATGTTTCAGTTAAGAGAATTCAATACGTTGAACAAGCTTAATGACATTTGTATAATTCCAATTGTGTTTCGTAATGTCAAAAATCAAAACATAAACAACAAGCGCCGATTTAATTTATTTTTGTAACGGCGTTCCAAGAAAATTGAATTTAGTATTTGAAACGGACATAAAATACTTTGGTTCATAAACATATTATTCTAAATCAACGATATTTAAATACACTTTACTAAAAAAATATATATACATATATATAAAAGCAAAATTGCGAGATAAAATTATGGCAGATTTTTCATTTATAATACCAACATCTAATGCAGATCTTTTGAATTCTCAAAGAGATATTTATTTCGTCAAAGAAGTTTATGACGCTAAAGAAATATCAGATCAGCTTCGAAGTAAGTTAATTTAATTCTGAATCAACGTACGAAAATTGAGGTTAATATTTTTAGGATGTAAACAGGCGGCATTAGCGGGCGATCCTTTCTACATCTTTGATCATTTCGACACTTATTTTTCTGTAATTGAAAATTCGAAGAACTTGTCCACAATTCAACTGCTTAGAGCATTCGATTTACTATATTTAACTGTCGATAAGTTGGGTGCCAAATTAGCGGGCATATTAAATAGTAACGAAAATATAAAAGAGAGAAATTCTTACTTAAATTTGACTAAAATGACCATTTATTTATTGGTCGGAACAGTTAAGTGCTTGGATAATGTTGTTTGTCATTCGCAAACACAACAACTCAAAAAGAGTAAAAAAGTAAATGTAGACTTTTTTGAAGGGCAGGATTGGGAACAAAAAAGATTCAAGTTCTTAATTCAGCTCTATGACTTTTTTCAACTTCCTTTAGAAAAGCTCTGGGATCCACCTGTAGCAGAAGAGAATTTTGTGAAGTAGGTTTTTTCTTATTAATAATTTGTGTATAATATATTTATGCACCTAATTATATTAATTTTAATTTTAAGCTTGTTATGCGACGTTTCCTATCGTACACTTGAAATTTATTCAAGCAAAAATAAAAATGTCAGCGATACTGTATTTCAAATTCTTGGAGCTGCAATAAAACGATATAATCACGCTTTAACATTCCCAATAAAAATTTTACAAATTCTCAGAAATAGTGAAGAATCATTAATTCCTACAGCAAATGGGTTGCTTTTGCTTCATGAAGAGTTTGGAATAACTACAGTTTTTCAAGTTCTTTTGAAAGATATCGTGGAAACTTTGAGCACAGACTCAGGCGATACCCAAATAGCAAGATATTTTAGTACTTTTTTAACTGAGCTAGGTGTTATAGCTCCGAAATTAATGATCCCGCATTTGTCTTCAGTTGGTGATGAATTACTAAATTGTGAATCTCACGTTCTAAGAAATTGTGTTTTGCAAATGATGGGAGATGTTATATCAGTTGAACTTACATCTGAAGATCTTACCGAAGAAATGAAAGAAATCCGAGATGAATTTCTGGATAATTTATTACAGCACATAAAAGATGTCTCAGCCCACGTACGTTCAAAAGTTCTACAAATTTGGAATCACATGAAAGAACAAAATGCGGTTCCGTTAGCATACCAATTTAGAGTACTTACAGAAGCGGTGGGACGACTTGATGATAAAACTTCAACAGTTCGCAAAAATTCTGTAGCGTTACTAAAGTCATTTTTGGAAAATAATCCTTTTTCTGCCAAATTAACGCTGGCAGAACTGCAAAAAAGATATGAAGAAGAATTAGAAAAATTGGAAAAGCTAAAGGAAGTATTAGTTGAAGAAAATAAGAAACTGGCCGAAATAGAAAAAGATTGGGAGAAAATTATCCCAGAATTGTTTCCAATTATAGAAGACGTACTATCGAAAAGTATAAGCTAAATAACTTTTGATTAATAAAAATACATAAATTAAAAACATTTATTTAGGTTTGGGTGAATTACCGAATACACAGGAAAATTATGAAAATATGGTGAAAAAAGTGGCAAATTTATTAGTAGAAAAAAAATACCGTGAAGCAGTTGTACTGGCAAAACAAGCAGATCATATTGCGGGAAACTCTGAATGGTGAAAATTCAAACGATAAAGAAAAATAAACTCTTATTTTGCTTATTTATAGGCTGGCATTGAAATTTGACGAGCAGTGCGCTTATTATTTAACATTATTAAAATCATATATATTTATCAACACTGGTATAAACAATCAAATTGTGGGTATAAAATATTTTATGGTATAAATAAAAAAATTGTATGTTTTTATGTTTTTTTAGAATGAAACTTTTGAAACGCAAATGAACACTGTTAAATTTTTAAATGATTCAATAGAGTTCTCGAAAATTATTACTGCAGCTCTTCCTAAAATTCAAGAAATGTTACTTTCAAAAACCAATAGCGACGTGTTCGAAGCAGTGGACTTTTTTACAACTGGCTATATGTTTGGAATTAAAGGAACAGAAAGTGGAATGAGGCAAATGTTACATTTAGTATGGTCTAGTGATAAAGAAAAACGAGATGTTTGTTCAAATGCTTATAAGAAAGTTTTGTTTACCACAGACTCTACTGGGAGGTAAAACTCATATTTTTTTCTTTTAAATCTTATCCAAAATTAAATATTTTAGAGCGCATGCAATTAAAGTAGTAAAAAATCTTTGCCTTTTATTTGAGGAACTGAATTATGGGGAGTATATTGCAATGGAAGTTTTAATTAAGGAGTGGGTAGATACAAATGATATTGATCTTCAAATAATTCAAGTGCTTTTTGAACGGTTTACTCTTAAGTTAGAAGGAACAACTGAAAATGAATCAAGGCAAGCATTAGAATTGCTAATTCTCGCATCTAATGCTAAATCAACAATTATTACTGCTAACATTAATGTAATCGAAACAATTGGTTTCGAAGAGCGTGGTATGAAAGATCCAAGAATCTACGTAGGCTGCTTGTCCTTTTTATTGAATTCAGTTCCTACAGAATCCCGTTCGAAATATTATAAACGATATGATGAAAATCACCCATTAGTACAAAAAATTTTAGGATGTTTTAAGAAATTGTTCTTTCACCCTCGAATTGAAGATTTTGATAATGTTGCTATTAAAACGCTTGAGTTTCTGTATAATTTAGGGCAAGCTCCTGATGTTATATGCCAAAAACTTATTATTGATTTACATGAGAAATTGAAAGAGTTACAAGGAAAATTCGAAGGAATATCACTTAATAAAGTGGAATTACCACCAAGTCAAACATTATCTCAACTACCAGTAGGGCAAACACTTACTCAAGAAGAAACATTTACTCCAAAATCAAAAAAGTTGACAATCCCTGTTTTCCTCATAACGCGGTTGATATTTGTTGTAGGCTTTGCGACAATGAAAGAAATGATTTTCTTAGACATTGACGTCTATAATAATATGAAATTAAGGCAAGAGTTAAAAGAAGAGATCAAAAATCAGAAAAAGAAAAAAAATCATGTAAACAATTTTAAACGGAAAACTATAAACATGTCTGCGAGTGAGTCATTGAAAAGATTAACAAACTCAGCAGCAGAACCGCAACAAGAAGTAATAATTTACCTTAAAATTAAAATATGTCTGTAGTGTTCTAATTTTCTTTTTAGCCTAATGAGGAGCTAGTAGGAGCTACAGCAGAAGATAGTATTGCCGAATTGATTACACATATATGTGAGGATCAAATGCTGTTCGCAAAAAATGGAATTTTGCCGAAACTGATACCGATTGTAGTTGAAATCTGTAAACATCCCGGCAAATATAATGATGAATTACTACAACAATCTTCTACTTTAGCTTTGATTAGATTTATGTCTGTGTCCTCAAAATTTTGCGAGACTTATATGCCGTTTTTAATGAACATCTTATCAAAAACGAAAAATTTGAAAATAAAATGCAATATTGTCGTGGGCTTGTCCGATTTGACGTTTCGTTTTCCAAATGTCTTGGAGCCTTGGACGGGTCATTTGTATGCAATTTTACATGAAACAGACAATGAATTGCGTTTAACGGCAGCAAAAATATTGAGTCATTTGATATTGCATGAAATGATTCGTGTGAAAGGTCAAATAGCGGATTTAGCTTTATGTATAGTTGACGAGTACGAAGAAATTCGAAACATTACAAAGCGATTTTTTAAAGAAATTGCGAACAAATCAAATATTTTATATAATGTTTTGCCTGATATTATTTCGAAGTTGAGTGATGTTAATGTTAATGTTGAGGAAGAAAAGTATAGAATAATAATGAAATATATACTTAATTTAATACATAAAGATCGTCAAGTGGAAAGTTTAGTTGAAAAATTATGTTTACGTTTTTCAGTAACACATGAGGAGCGTCAATGGAGAGATATTGCTTATTGTCTCAGCTTGCTTAATTATACAGAAAAAACTATTAAAAAATTAACTGATAATATTCAATACTTCAAGGACAAAGTTCAAGTAGACGAAGTTTACAATTCATTCAAACTTATAATTTCAAATACATCAAAACTTGCTAAACAAGAATTGAAAAATGCGGTCGTAGAATTTGAATCTCGATTAGCGGAGTGTTTGGAAGTTAGAGAAGGTAACCCAGAGATATTAAGCAGTAGCGAAGCTACGGAATCGCGGACAACTACAACATCTAAATCAAAAACTTCAAATAGAAATCGAAACAAAAAGCCAGTTGGAAATATAAAAACTTCAAAGAAGATTCGTCAAAATATGACGTCATCAGAAAGCTCTAGTATTAGTGAAGAAAGCGAAGAAGAATATATATCATCCTCCAAAAATAGTAATGTTGGAAAAAGAAATGGACGGTTAAAAAATTCTCAAAAAAATAAACACTCTGGAAATAAAATTTTAACGGATTCAGAGTCTAGTTCTGAATTAGATGTTCCACAACCCAAAAGAGGTCGTCAAAGAAAATAATTTATAAAAATGTATTTATATTATATATATACATTATATATGGGTGTATACAATATATATAAATAGAAAAAATATTATATGATTATGTTAAATTTTAAGTGTATGTAACTTTTGGTTTCAATTAGCTACATAATTTTGTCATAAATAAAGACTTAAAAATTCGAATTTTTTAAGTTAACATTGTACCTATTATATTTTTTATGTTGTATAAATTTGCGATTATTACAAAACTTATTCATATATTTGTTTAATCCAATTTTTAGTGGAAACTATTTCTGCGGAATTAAAATTTTTTTTCGTTCTACCAAAAAAGGTATACAATTCTAAAACTTTGCTGGATATAATTAAATTTTATTATGTTTCCGTTGTTTAAAAAAAAACTCACATATAAAAGTTTGTATAATTGCAGAAATAGCTTTTGTTATTGCTACTTTTTCAAATTCATAAAATTTCAAAGAAATTGTATTGCATATCAAAAATTTAATATAATACTTAGAATGGGCTCGATAATCCCATTCACTTTGGCTAGGAAATGATCTGACACGTTTTCGGGATATGTCAGATCAAGAAAATACTAAATAGATTTTTTTAGTTTTATTAAGTTTTTTTTCTAAAATGCTGCATAAAAACTATATTGTCATAACTATAGGGCCATATTTTTAATGATGTAACGTTTGTTAAAAATTAACTTTTGCACAGAACTTTAAATTGAAATTTTCAAACAAACGTCAAAATGTGTATTAATATTGCAAAAATTGTATTCCAAAATGTATCTTTACCGTACTTAAACTTTTCATAAGGCATTATTGAAGTCACGGTATAAGAAGAGCGTTCTCGATTTTTTCGATACCCAATTTACTTTTATGTTACGTATCCAGAACGCATAGAACGCATTTTGGAAAAGTGTACAATGTCAAGTTAGAAAAAACTGAAAAAATAAAACAAGGGAAAAATTTGATTTTGCCTAAAGTTCGAATGTTTTGTATTCCAAAGATACATAAAATACAGAATCAAGCAACATGTTTATCTTAAGCCCTTTACTAGGCCTTAGCGCAGATTTGGAACCCAGTCCAGAATAAATGTTTTACCCATTTTCGATCGTCTAACGAATGGAATATGTTATTGTATACCTTTCAAAATCACTCTGTGTATGTATTTAAGTATCTTTTTCATTTTTATATTTTATATTTTTTCCTTGAAGTCTATCAGAAAAGCTTGAGGACATTTTAGTATGAAAAAAAGTTCAGTAAGTACAAATGTACATATTATATTATTACTATATTCGCGATTCACACATCAAATTGAAAGCATTTTCCAATTTTAATAAAAGTTTAATAACTATATTATGTACTTTGTTAATTTTTTCACTAATCATAATAAAGAGTAATTAAAATACGTAATCAAAATGGGTAACTCAACTTCAAATCGTTGTAATAGGGGTTTATTCTATGGATTGCTAAATCACTATGTGAATCATTTGATATCGTAAAAATTTCAACTTTATTATAGACACGAATCATTTGTGTGGATTGGTTTGCATTTACAATAATAGTATTTCCACACATACTTAGAATTTATACGCATTTTAGCTTATGAATTATAGTTGCTAAATTCTGTATTAATATAGTAATGGTGTAATTTAGACAATATAAAATTTTTAATAGTGAAAATGCAGAAGAGTAACAAAAATATGTTAATCTTGAATAATTAACTTCTAATATTTGAATAGTTTTTCATTTCTGACGCAAATACAATATGGCGCTTTTTTGTTTAATTTTCATTTCATCCCTGAAAACTGTCACTTTTGGCAGAAGAATTCGTAAAATTTTCTGATGGTTGAACTTTATTAATATTTTTGGGGGAGTGACAGTATAAAACTATTTATCTGTAAATTTGAAAATTCTAGAGCTTGTAGAAACTCAAATCATTTTTAAGTTTCGAGTTTGTAAAATATAATTAAAAAGAAACAATTATTTTCATTGATTTTTGTATCAATTTCCAAAATAATTAGGTGATTTCTTGTAAGAGTTGCTTTCTACATTTGGAGAGGCGTGGAGAAAATTGCATTTTAAATATAATTTATTTTCTAAATTATTAAAAATGATGGTTGAATCGGATGGTACAGCAGACGCAACCAGGCGTTTAAATGTTAAAAAGCAAACTTTGGATGATGCTTACGCAGTACCAGCTAATTTTCTTGAGATCGATGTCGCTAATCCATTGACCACAATGACGGCTGGGAAAAAACGATACACTGACTACGAAGTTCGGATGAGGGTAATTTTTTGATTATTTGTATGTCTTAAACACTTGTATTCAAAAACATAAACTTAATTTATTTGTTTAATCTGTTAGCGGCAGATTAAAATGAATCATTCTTAATGTAATTTAAACAAAGTAATAATCAACACTTTTAAGTTTGAGATAATTTAACAACTACACACTAATGTAGTGAACTTATAAGATTTTAGTTTAAAATTATTACGTATATTGTGTTTTATTCGAAGCCAATGTTATGTATGTAAAAGCTAGAAGCCATTCACTGATAATTTACGAATCGGAATAACTTAGAAATGAAGCTATTTTTTTTCATCTGTTTTTTATATACATATGTACATTCAATGGTACAACAAAAGGCCAATGTTCTATGTCCTAAATTTAGAACTATTGATTAGCAAATATACAGTATAAAATTTTCTTTTGTTATACCTTGGTATTAACAAAAGGTAGATTATACCTTACACTCACCTTATTTAATAAATGTAGCTTAATGAATTTGTGAAACATAAAATTGTATAATTAACATTTGTTTTGACTCAAAGTCGCAACATAGAATATTAATAAAATTTTTTTAATATTTTTTTATTTAGATAATACAAGGTATTTTAATTTTTTTTTCGATTTTATTATTGTATAATATGTTCTAATAAGAAAAAGCTCTGTTTGTCAAAAATTTTTCAATGCGACATGTACACTTACCCAACTAATTGTTTATATCATATTTGACTTGTTTTTTAATCTAATTATCTAAAGCTAAAGTTATTATGAAATAGGTATAGATAATTTTAAATACAATTACAAATATTTATATTAGTCCTTAAAACTTTAAATATTACTATGATTCCTATAATATTTCAGACAAATTTACCTGTATTTAAAATAAAAGAATCCAGTGTTAGACGCAGATATAGTGATTTTGAATGGCTTCGAAATGAATTAGAACGTGATAGTAAGGTAAATTTTTTTGATTTTAATATTTTTGTTAAATTTTTTCTAATATTAATTTTAATATAAAATTTAAACTTTAGATTGTTGTTCCACCATTACCTGGAAAAGCATGGAAAAGGCAAATGCCCTTCCGTGGAGATGACGGTATATTTGATGAAAATTTCATTGAAGAAAGACGAAAAGGATTAGAAGCATTTATAAATAAAATAGCAGGACACCCATTGGCTCAAAATGAGAAATGCTTGCATATGTTCTTACAAGAAAATACAATTGATAAAAACTATGTGCCCGGAAAAATTCGAAATACATAAAATAATGGCAAAATCAAGTTACGTGGTTATTATAACTTTCATTTTTTATTTTTTCATTTATTTTTATTTCTTCTTATTTCATTATTTTATCGGTTTTCAAAATTTTTAAAATCATTAAATTTTATCTCAATTGCCTTCAAATTTAGAAATTATTTGAAATATAAATTTTGGTACAACAAAAACTGTATTTCAAGTTAGAAAAAAAAGATCTATATAAAATAGAGCTGTGTTAAAAAAGTTAGTCTTACTTTTACTCCATCATTAAATACATATTATTAATAAAGAATTACCGTAAAGGTACAATGTTTTTTTCCACTTAGGTTCAAGAAAAATTAGAGAAAAAAAGAAATGCTGTTACTAATTTTATACAAACTCAGTGAACATGTATTAAAATACTAAGTGAAACGATTAAAATCGTGAAAATTTTTTGTAAATTATTAATTTTTTTCTTGCAATTAAGTGATGAGTATGCATTCAAAGATTATCAAGTTGAAGTTTGTATTTACCACATTTAATAACTTCAAATTTTTATATTTAATGTTTTCAGATTTGATAAATATTTCTTTAAGCATATGAGTTGTATTTAAAATTTTTAAAACTTTAGACTTTAATCAGATTGTCTTTGTAAAAAAATTCGCTTTTCAAAAATATTATTTAGAGTACAGATAGTATATTAGCTATTTTGTGAACGAATATATTTTGTTTTACAAATCAACACAGTTTAAAAAACAAGTTTTAAAGAACAATTAGAAAATCTTAGAATAACAAAAAAGAAAATTAAATGAGAAGTTATAAATGGGACGCAATTTTGTACATATTTAAAATATAAAAATAAAATATAAATTATCATTGTAAAAGTATATTAAATTTAAATGGAATTATTTTGTAATTATTCTCTTTTTTTTTTTGTATATGAAATATATTTGTTCGCAAAATTTGTTTTTACATATAAAATAAATAAAACCAATAAAAATTGTATTCTCATAAAATTACCTATATAAATTTTATATACGTTTAAATATTATTATTTTGAAAATTATTATTATAAAATAAATAATGAAAAACAAAATCAAAACATCATGAATTCGGTTAATTATTTAAAAGTTTAGACAGATTATTTAGTTAAAGTTGAGAAAATAATAATAATAGAAAAAAAAACTTGAAAAATGTCTGAAAATTACAACGGTCTAAATTATATTTTGTTCAAATTTGTTGTAATACCGAAGACTTAAAATTATTTTGTATAATCCGAATTCATATTTTGATAGTTTAAGCTTAATTTAAATTTAATGTAATAAAAAAATATATCTTTATTATTATCGTGTAAGTTAATAAAATAAAGGAAATATTTTGGGGAATATCATTATTATTATTATGTACGAGAAAATAATAAAAATGAAGAATATTATTATACAAATTTTTTTCAATTTACTTTGCCTTTATTATTGCCCTTAATAAAATTTTATAAAAATTTGTTTATAATATATAGTTCTGATTTATTTTGCGCTTTATTTTATGACTTACTTATGTTTACCTTACTAAGTTTATTTAATGGATAAACAAAATATCAAAAACCAAAAATTTATTAGGTACAAAATATCAAATACTTTTGGATCCGATTGCAGTTAAATTAAATGTGATGGAAATACTTATCCTCGGCGCTAAATGGATTATAAGTGATGAAACAATAAAATTATGTATAAAATTTTCGAGAACACCGACTCTATATTTTTGGTCATTACTAAGGAACTAATTAACAGAAATTCAAGAAATTCATATGACAATCAAATATCAGAAAGTGAATCTTTGTTCGGAACCAAACTTTCATCAATTTTTTTATGTATGTATGTTAATTACAAGTTTACTGCCTATTTTAGCATTTGAAATAAGAGTGTAACGGCTCTTATCTTACTTTTATAACTAAAAAAAATAAATTGATTAAAGTTTATATTATTTAAAACAGAAAATTGGAACGGTTATATGCTGATTTAAAGACTAAATTGTATACTGTTTGTCTACGTTTCTGTATGTCTGCCTGTTACAATCCTGTATCGTAAGTTCAACTCTTAGTTCGAGTTCACCTCGGTTATGGGACGGTTTTTCAAGTTCAGGATATGTCAGATCAAAAAAATATTAAAGAGATTTTTTTAAAAAAAATTTTTTAGGTATGAAGAAGTTCTATATTACAATATGTTAAGCCATTTTTAAGGAAATTGCTCATATACAGAGAAATATTTAATTTCCTTGAAATTTAATATTTAAAGTCTGGTTACTAAAACATTAAACCAGTAATTTTTTGTTAATGCATCGAAGCCCCGATGGAAAGCATAACTTTCACTAATCTCTTGGAATTAAATATTTGAGTTCTAATTGCTGAGGAAATTAACTGAGAAACTTTACTGGATTATAATTAATTAAAAAAAAAGTTTATTTTTGTTGTTTTTTTTTTCAATTTGATTTTAAATTTCTTTAATTTTTGGAAATATTTGGTAGTTAAATGAAGTTAATGCAATTGTGTTTCATTTTGGAAAAGAAATTCTGAATATTGAATTAACAAGGATTGAAATTTTTTTTTTTGCTTGCCAGGTTTTCGTCTAATAAGATATATTATTTCTGAGACTTTTGCAATATAATGCTATATCAAAGACCAGAATAAAAGACCCTGTACAGTTAGTAAGTACAAGTCATAAGCCTTCATTAATTGTTATACATATTTATTTATTTAATTGAAGGCCGAAGGTTAAGAGGGCGAAGAGGTAAAAGTAGACTTATTTGTACATAAATAACAACAATTTGTTTTGGAATTTTTTTTTTTAAACAATACCTTTATTTTTATATATTTAAATTATTAATTATATGTTTTATTTATCTTTAATGTTAACATGAAATTGAGTAGGTTTTTGATAAGTTTATGCATTTTTTTTAATATTTTTTTTTTATTAGTTTCAGGTTATTTTTTTTTTTCTAATAATTTTTGTTCTAACTTTTATTTTTTGGGTTTTTGAATACATTTTTTTTTTGTTTTTATATTATTTTTTTTTTTTTATCATCAAACCATCTTTTTTTCTGCTTTAAAATTCTGTAATTTTATGTTTTTTTTTCTTCAATTTAAAAATTTTTTTTTTGTTTTTATTTATTTATTTATTTTTTTTTTTTTGGTTTTTTGTTATAATAATAATAAATACGTTTTTTATACCAACATTATTGCTATAACACAAAAAATATTACAAAATCTTTTTTTATGTTTTTTTTTTGTTCTTTTACTGCTTATAACTAAAACAACAACGGTTTTTCATTTTTGGTTTTTTTTTTTTTGTATTTTTTTAATTTTTTTTATTTATAAAGTGTTTTTTTTTTTAATTATTTTTTGTTTTTTTTTTTTTAAATTAATTTCTAAACAACAAATATTTTCTTTTTAAGATTCAATCGAACAATTTTACATATTTAAGTTTTTTTTTTCTTTGTTTTTCACTATTTTTTTTTTTTTTTAAGTTTAGATTGTTTATATTTAGCTTTGAATTGTTATTGTTTTTAAATACTATTATGAATATTATTATTATTTATTATTATTATTTATATTTATTTATTCATTTATTTATTTTATATATTATTTGCGTTGTGTTTATCAAAATATACGTGCATCTATGAAACCAATAATTATTTCGTTATATATATATTATCGTATATAAATATATATATATGTATATGCATATATTTTTTCATATTTATTATTATTATTATTTTTTGTATATAAATATAATAAAAATTTTGTACATATATTTATATAATATACTTGTATAATTATAATATGTGTATGTTTGATTTATATAGAAATACAAATATATAATTATTTTTATTTTGCAAAATTTCATAATAATTATAAATTATAAATATTAAAATTTTTGGTTTTTCCTTTTTTTTTTTTGTTAATTTGTATTTTGTATCATACATATATAGTTTATATAGAAAAATAAAAGATTAACTTAAAATTACCTATACATATAAAAAATATTAATAAAAAAATTTTTAATTTATTATTTGCAAAGTTTTTTGTAAAAGGATTTTTTAATTTAAAAATTTTAATTGAAATTTTAGAATAATACAATTAATATGTGAAAATTATTACTCTAATATTTAAATACCAATATAAAATTATATTTTTATTAATTAAAATTTAATATAATTTTTAAATAAAATATAATTATAAATTAAATAATATAAATTATGTAAATAATGTACATATTAATTAATTAATTTCTTATTCTTATTATAAGGCTATTATATTCTAATATAATATAATAATAATTAAAAAATTTTTCAAATTTTAAAATAATTTCGAAAAATATTTTTGTGTATTAAAATGCTATTAATTAAATGTGTAAATTGGAGTGGTGTTTTTACAATTAAAATTTTTAAAAAGAAAAAATTAATTCAATATTTTTTAAAGAAATTCTAAAATATATAAGAGTTGAAAGCATTCTTTATTAATTTAAATTAAAAAAAAATATTAATAAAATCTTAATAAAATCTTAAATAAAAATAATAGTTAACAATTTACAAAAATTGTTTTTCTTTTTTATAAAATATTTAACTTTTCTGTTATATTTAATAATATAAATGTTTATTTTTTGTATTAGAATTTTTGCTTTTTTTTTTTTAAACCTGGTTTTTCGCTTAAATCTTTTAATTTTATTCAATTAATTTATTTATTATTTAATTATGTATTTTTATATTAAATTTTTTATTTTAAGTTTTTTTTTGTGTTTTTTTTTTATTTTTATTAAAAGAATGAGTAAAATATGACTGCTTGATGACACATTTTGGTTTTTTAATGTTGTTTTTTTTTTTTTTGTGTTTTCTTTATTTTATTTTCATATTTATATTTCACTACAATTTCCTTCTATATAGTTTTAATTTAATTCTTTTTTTTTTTTAAATATTTTATTAATTTAATCTTGTTTTTTTTTGTTTTGACTTTAAAGGAGCATTTCAAGTTTTTTAACTACTGGTGTTTATATTATTATATTTTTTGTTTTTTGTTTTAATATAAATTTTAATGATATATTTTTGTTTTATTTGTTTTTATTTAAAAACGAATTTTCTTGTTCTTTAATGAATTTTTAGTTTATGATTTAATTTTTATTTTAATTTTTTTGTTTAATATAAGTTTTAATAGTATTTGGTTTTTGTTTTTTTTTGTTTTTAATTATATTAATTATAATATACTTATAATTATATAAAATATTGTGATATTTTAAAATTATAAAAAAGAATTAATTTTTTTTTTTATTTATTTATAATATTTTTCTTTTAATGTTTTTATTTTTTTTTTTTTAAATAAAAATTATTTAAAAATATAAAATAAAATTTTATTATAGAAAAAAAAAATGAAAATTTGAGAGCAATTTATACATAAGCAAATTTTATTATTATTAAATTTAAATTTTATGTAGAAATTACATTAAGTATAATATGTATATAATTTATTATCAGGCCAAAGCACGAATTTTATGTGATATTATATTTTAAATTTCATGAAAGAAAATAAAAGAGTTTGAATAAATTGTTTTGCTTATACAGAAACCTAATTTAAAAATTAATAATATTTTTCATAATTTTTAAAAATTTATTTTTTGTGTTCGATATCAACAAAATAATTAATATTTGAAATATTTTATAAAATTTTATTTTTATATAAATGTAGAATAAAATAATTATTCATGATCATGCATAATTGTTATGAAGATTAACAAAATAAAAGTTTAAATATTAATCAAACATGTTTGTATTCAAACATGTCTATTCGGCTTGTTTAGTTAGAATTGAAGGTTTATGTCAATGGTAAATTTTAAATAAAAGTTTTTTAAATAATCATTTTTTTATTTTCAAGAGTTTATATTTTTAAAATTTTTTTAAAATAATATTCAACAATATGGCTGTAAGGCTAGAGATTAAAATTTCCTTTTGAAATTTTTTTCAAATGCTTGTGAACCATTTTCTTTTTTGATATTTGTGTCTCTTTCATGAGAACATAAAAGTATTTCAAGATTAATATATTTTTAAAATATTTAATTTAAGAATATTGTTTATTATTTTTTTTATTTTTTATTTTCGTGCTTTGAATCAAGATTTTCTTTATTTTATATATTTAAAAAATACTTTTCGATACTTTTTGTAACATATTTATTTTTTCTAAAATATGTTATTTTCTATGTGTTTTATATAGATGTATGTGTATGGCTGTGTATACAAATATTTTTTTTATATATAAATATTTATGTATATGTATTTTAAATTGACGTAACAAATCCCGTTGAATTTTTATATTTATTTTTTTTTCTATTATTCTTTATATTTATTTATTTAGGTTTTAGTTTAATGG